TCTGAGTCTTTTCTATAGTGGGCAGCAGAAACTTTCACGGTCGAACACCACGGTCGACCGTCAAGCTGAATTCTTCGCGGTCGACCGTCACGGTCGACCGCCGAACTCTCTGGAGTTTCTCCTATTGTTTTTGTTGCTCGCGGTCGGCCGTCGTTTATCCCAACGGTTCTTTTGGTATAGAATCAGATTTCTGATTCTTGGGCTGTTTGGTCTTTTCCTTTAGGGTTTTTGTTGTTGCTTTCTCTTCCTATATAAACCCCCAAACCCCCTTCTATCTCAGTAACCAATGGGATTATTTAAACAAGTTTCTAAAAGTTTTAACAGGGGTTTAAGTTTGGTTTAAAGCTGTTTTTGGTTGGTTTACAAGTGGAGAAGATCATCTAAATTCTTTGAGCTTTCTTTTAATCCATCTCTCCATCTTGTTATTCAGAGAAGAATCTCTAAACTCATATCTAGCTATTTATACGTTTGATTTACATTTCCATAAGCTAGCATTTGTATTGAGTTTAGTTTGATTTTCCATAAGCTAGCATTTGTATTGAGTTTAGTTTGATTTTGATTTACTCATTGTTTACACACACAACCATTTGAGCTTATTGTATTTACATACATAGTATATTTGGGTTGGTGAGAGTTATATCAATTGAGTGTGAGCTTTTATTGTGTTCTCATCCATATTAGAGAACAATCATTCTTTGTATTGTGCTTAATCGTGAGATCACTTTATAATATACTTGTACACCGAGAGGAGTGTGTGGTGAGAGTTGGGGATCGTCCCAAGAGGAGTGGCGTCGGTTGATGAACCTGGGGAGAGGTTGTAACCAAGCACTTGAGGGAGACACGGCTAGGTCCAACACTTGTGAGGGTGTAGAGTGAGTTTGCAATACTGTGAGTTGTAAAGTTTTCGGTTAGCTAGAAAACCGAGTGTGTAGAAGTTCTGGCTTCCAAACCGGATTGTGATAGTGGATTTCTCCCCGAGAGCAGGGAGCGGAGACGTAGGACGGAAGGTCCGAACTCCGTGATCATTTGATTGTGTTTGAGTGTGCTTTGGCGTTTATTTATATTTGTGCTCATTGCTCATATCGCCATTGTCTCATTATTTATATCATCCACTATCTTATTTTATATTGTTTACCCTTGTGCTAGTTTCATATCCTTGCATATATATATCTCAAAGTATATCTCTTTGCTAGGATATATTCATTTGCTCATATTGCTTATTCTTGCTTATAACATATTGTATATCTATCTTGCAAGAAGAATAGTTTGAATTAGTTTTAATTGGCATATAATCGGATTAGATTAGCATAAGACCCTAATCACCCCCCCTCTAGGGTCTAACAGATCTGAGGTTTCATCTATTTTTGAAATATTTACAATAAAATCAAAAATTAGTTTTCCACCTCTATTCATATCCTTTGTACCGATAATGTCTTGGAATACATAAAAAATGATATCTCTTGTTTTTGTGTAAATATGGGTATTCTCCATCAAACTTCATGCTCTCATACTTTACAACAAAATGGAGTTGCTGACAGAAAGCATAGACATATTTTAGATGTTGCTCGAACCGTGATGATACATATGAATGTTCCAAAGTATTTATGGTCTGATGCTGTTCTGAGTGCATGTTTCCTGATCAATAGGATGCCCTCTTCTGTTCTTAATGGTAAAATACCGTTCACATGCCTTTATCCTGATAAACAGACATTTCCTGTGGTTCCTCGTGTTTTTGGTTGTACATGTTTTGTTCAGGATTTGTCTCCGGGACTGGATAAATTGTCTCCCCGATCTATTAAGTGTGTCTTTGTAGGATACTCACGCACTCAAAAAGGTTATCGGTGTTATAATCCATCCACCAGGAAGTATTTTGTGTCCGCAGATGTTACTTTTTTGAGTCAGTTCCATACTTCTCTTTGGCTAGTTCATCTCCAAATGTCAATCCATCTGTGCCTCTTTCGTGTAGTGCTCCTACTACTGTTCCATTGCCTGCTTCCATTCCTTCTACTGACGGATATTCTCCATGATTACATGATGCCTCTACTGTGCCACCTGCACCACCGCCACTACTGACGTATTGTCGCCGTCTAAAAGTTTATGTTCCTCTCTTTGCTCTTGCCGAACTGTCATCTCTGGTTGCAGGTCTGCCTCCTTCTAATTTTTCTGCTCTAGATATTCCAATTGCTCATCGAAAAGATAAACGGTCTTGTACTAATCATCCTATATCTGATTTTGTTTCCTATGACCATCTTTCTCTCTCTTCTCGTTAGTTTGCTTTGTCCTTGTCCTCTATATCTCTACCCAAGTCATATGAGGAGGCCGCATTAGTTCCTACTTGGAAACAGGCCATGGATGAGGAGATGGATGCACTTATTTCTAGAAGGACTTGGTATCTTGTACCTTTTCCTACAGGTGCTACGGTGGTTGGATGTCGATGGGTTTATACCTTGAAGTATCGCACAGATAGTTCGGTTGATCACTATAAAGCTCGTCTTGTTGCTAAGGGTTATACTCAAACATATGGGGTCGACTATCTTGAGACATTCTCTCCTGTTGCTCGTCTCAATTTTATTCACCTACTTTTCTCTATGGCTATTAATCTGGACTGGACCATGTTTCAACTGGATGTTAAAAATACTTTCTTGTTTGGTGACTTGCAAGAGGAACTCTATATGGAGCAACCTCCGGAGTATGTTGCTCAGGGGGAGAATAATGTTTGTAGGCTTAAAAAGACGATTTATGGTCTCAAACAGAGTCCACGGGCATGGTTTGAGAAATTCAGTATTACTATATCTGGTGTCGGTTTTAAAAGATGTCAATCTAATCACTCAATCTTCATCTGAAGTACTAAATCTGGTTTGGTGATTCTGACAGTATATGTTGATGACATCCTGCTAACTGGGAGTGACCTTGCTACCTTAGCAGAGACTAAGGAGTATCTTTCACGTCACTTTGTGACCAAAGATATAGGAAAACCTAAATACTTTCTTGGGATTGAGATTGCATATCAAAAGGACCGTCTGCTTCTATCTCAAAAGAAATATGTATTGGACTTGTTAGAAAAAATGGGCCTTTTAGGGTGTAAGCCAGCAAGCACTCCAATGGAGGTGAATGTGGATCTGTGACATGATTAAGGTCCTCTCCTAGATGATGCATGTCAATATAGGAGAACGATTAGAAAGTTGATCTATCTTACTGTGACCAGACCTGATATTACCTTTGTAGTGGGAGTACTGAGTAGATTTATGCATAAACCTAGAGAGGTTCACTAGACTGCTGCTCTTAGGATTTTAGCTTATGTTAAAAGCTGTCCTGAAAAAGGATTATTGTATAAGAAACATGGACATTTACACATCTCTACCTTTTCTGATGCTGGGTATGCATGAGACATAGGAGATAGGAAATCTACTACTGGATTTTGCACCTTTATTGGAGGAAATCTAGTTACTTGGAGGAGCAAGAAACAAGATGTAGTTTCTCGATCTAGTGCAGAGGCAGAAAACAGAGCTATGGTTCACACTGCATGTGAGATGATATGGTTGCAGAAACTGTTGACAGAGCTTGGTTTTACTCAGCCTGGCCCTATGCCTATGCATTGTGATAACCAGTCTGCTATCTATATTGCAAAGAATCCAGTATTTCATGAGAGAAGCCTATGCATTGTGATAACCAGTCTGCTATCTATATTGCAAAGAATCCAGTATTTCATGAGAGAACTAAGCACATTGAAGTTGGATAACCAGTCTGCTATCTATATTGCAAAGAATCCAGTATTTCATGAGAGAACTAAGCACATTGAAGTTGCTAGTAATTTTGTTAGAAATGCTTGGAAAAAGAAAGTGATATCTCTTCAGTTCACTCCGTCTGCAGAACAGTTAGCTGACATTCTCACTAAAGCTAGGTCACCTATGGTGTTTTCCATTCTATGTAACAAGCTGGGTATGGTTGATATATATGCTCCAGTTTGAGGGGGAGTGTTAGAATTAGTATTTGGGTTATCGGGTCAGGGCCCATTATTAACCCATTAGCCTATTACCCATATGTATTCCTATATAAACCCTTGTGGATGAGGAAAATGTAGACTCTCTGATTTTCTCTCTTAACAATCTGAACCAGCATTTTCTTTCCCTGAATTATCTTTTTTGTTTTCAACTGCTTTTGCTTAATTGGCACTGATGTATAGAGTAGCATTTTCAATAAAGATGTGATCCCTCTAAGTTGACAAATCAAAAGCTCCAACCTTTAGTAAAAATTCTCTTTTATCTCACTCCAATTTTTAGAAGAACAATTTTTTACTTCAGTCCCATTTCAATTTTTTTTATTTAAATCGACCTTTTTTTTATTTGTCAAAACCGACCCGATTTTTTGATTAGCAGCTTAATCACCTTCCTAAACAGTCGGGGTTGGCAACCCCAACTATTTAGGACATTAATTTTTAGGATTTAAGGCTTCTAATTAGGGTTTAACACCCTCCTAAATAGTCGGGGTTGGCAACCCCGACTGTTTAGGATGGTGATTAGGCTACTAATCAAAAAATCGGGTCGGTTTTAGTAAATAAAAAAAAGGGTCGATTTAAATAAAAAAAATTGAAATGGGGCTGAAGTGAAAAATTATTCATTTTTAGAATATCGATATCATTCCTATTAGTATATAACAATAATATTAACGCCAAACTATCAGGTTCTCTCTCCTACCTCCCCAACGCACTGGAATGTTTAACCCTCCACGAGGGTCAAGTAGTTCTTGTTGAATATAGCATATGCTTGTTCTGCCAGATTTTGGTCTCTAAGCTTAACAATGATATACTTTAATCGGAAGTTTTTTTTTCCTAACAAAGGCTAGCTTAAAGCAACACCAACGGAGAAGTAGTTAATAGCGAGGACAAAGGAACTCACAGAAGCTTTGTTTACCTTACTCAATTGTTTGAAAAGTGAGTAGATGATTTTAACCCCCGAAAAATACCATCCTCCACAACAACAACAAAAAAAAAAAAGCGAAAATGTGTAAGGCTGCGGTTATAGAGTACCAATGAATGCTTCCAACTACACTGTGGTGAATCATTACAAAAGCGACTGCTATTTCAATAATGCCCAAGAAGCTGCAGCATCCATAATTTCATCAAGGAAAAGCTTAAAATTGTAAATTCCTTCTTTCTAAGAGAGCATAACAAAAAGAATAAAAAAAGCTGTCGATCAAAGAAATCAACGGCGAGATACACATGGGACCGACAAGTATTATCATCTAGTATTTCCTCTTCCTAATCTTGAAGGTAGAGGACCGAATGACATCATCATCAGTGTTGAGTCTGAATTCAAGAACACCGATGGATTCAGGCTTGGTAAAATATGTGAATAGGAGGTAAATGCCGTCAAGGTATGTGTTGGTCTCTCCTGCTTTGTTCTTCTTCTTTATACTGTACGAGAGGGGGATCACTCCACGGTTAAATACCTCAATGTACATGCCGCCTCCAGCAACTAGCAACTGTAAAACAAAACAACCATATCAGAGTTTAGAATAGTATGAATCTCAAATTTTATTCAAATATATAGTCCGAAACGTGAAACTAATATTTTATGTCTTTAAATATTGATTAAGAAAGCCAACCGTGGGTAACCCTTACAGTTGGGAGGTTCTAATATGCCTTCCATGGTCCTTCTAGATGGTTATCTAATAAATAAAAAATAAAAAATAAAAGGATTAAGAAAATAATTGTATAGACAAAGTGAAATAAGATGGCCCTAGTGTTTATGGCAGATGTAAACAAAAGTATACAAACATAAAATTCAAATGCTTGTTAGGGGACTTGCCATTGTTTATGTGATGATAGAATTATTTGCAAATAATTGTATAGAAAAAGTGAAATAAGATTTCCCTATAGTTAAAGGAATGCAGTTTTCGATATAATGAAACTTCTCGCAACTTTGATTAAGAAAGTAATTGTATAAACAAAGTGACATAAGATGCCTGTATTGTTTATGGCAGATGTAAACAAATATACAGATACACAAGTCAAATAATTATTATCTGTAGTGAGTGACAGACTAAGCTAAGGCGCTAAATTTAATGCTGTCCTATCTCCATTAGGGAAATTAAGAGCAGCGTAATGTAGTGCACAAAGAGGAAGGTATCCAGAAGACAAAAACGTTATGCACTCTCCAACATCACAATGATCCCAGAAATTATAACTATCCTACAAAATGATAAAAGGTGATATCATTATGTTGTATCCGTGTTAGGATGGAGATTATCAGTGTGTAGTAAAGTAACTTATTTGTGGTAGTATTCTCTATTTTGAGTTGCTATGCTATTTGAATATAACCCTTGCTATAAAGAAAACTTAATCAGAGTATCAGTTGTTCGCAAAGTGTTTGACATATCACCTCAATAACAAAAAGAAAAAAAAAGTTTTGGTTTTTGACATATTGAGGGTATTAGTACAAAGTAGAGAAATTCAATAGAAAAAATAGCTTCAGTTTATGAAGATTCGATGTGAAGGCTCTCTTGATGCAGCAAGATTTATCGAAGGTTTGACTGGAAAGGATAAATTGTGAGAATGTACGTCTCAAGATGAGATGTCGAGATGTAATGTGTAGTGCGATTAAGCGTCGTTTAGCAGATGAAGCTTCTGACAACCAGATGAAGAAACTGCAGCATATTGTAATATTGTATGATAAAAATTGGAAAGCTTCTATTAGTTTGAAATCCCTGACAAACAACTTGCATTTGAAGCAGTACCTCATCATTATTCACAGGAAACGTCTACTAGAAGGAATTAATCTAATGCAACGTATTTATAGAATATTGATGTCAAATTTGAGGAACAGGATTGAAATCTTATTTCATTGTGTTCATGACAAGTTTTCTGGCATCAACATTGTTAGGAGGTTTAAATTCAGATACTACTCTTTCAGTTGTGGCATATGCAACTAAGGAGTATGAAAGACATGGGGATGGGCTGTTGAGCAAATAGGAGGTTTGCTGTATTGGGTTGTTGAGCAAATAGGAGGCTTGCTGTATTGTATGTGATAATGAAAACTGGACTTTTTGAGGAACATATCTTTGGCAAAGAATGCATGGCTTTTTTTAATCAGCTTTCCACAGGACTAAAGAAACTCTCCAATCTCCATACATCCATTCAAATGCTTTGAGTCTCTTTCAAGTTCCATCCATAGGTGGAGCTGGGCATCTTTTCAACATTAATAGATGGTTATTAAAGGAAAGTTTGGATTTATTCTTGGAGTTTAAAAAGTGATGTGTTTGCTATCTTTAGTGAGTCAAAGGTTACAATAAAAAACATGACTGGAAGAACGTGAAGTGTCTCAGGATTTATAATGGTATGGAAATCAGCTCAGGACATTTGATCAAAGGCATTTTACGACATCTTATGGTTAAGAAGAACTACAATAAAATGGATTAGCAAAGAAGTTGAGCTAAATGCTTTTGGAGAGAGCCTGATGCCTTTCTTGGTTCTGCTACTAGGGTGAATGGATACATGTTATGATGTCCTGATTCAAAACCACCTAAATTTGTTATTAGTAGGGATAAAAATTTCACTGAAAATTTGATGCTTCATCAGAGAAAGTAGTATGCTAATACTACATTTGACAATAAGCAAGAAGGTTCAAGTTGGCGTGATGGTAATCCTCCACAATAAAGTCTAGACAAGGCAAATTCAACCTCCTTCATGACACGCTCAAACAGATGCAGGGTGCAAATTTGATTACTTGCGCCTTGCTACTATGATAGAGGAGATTGACTCTCTACGAAATATCGAACACGGGGTGAAACTAGGCACATGGCAAAAATCAACTGCAAATGGGTCCTCGAAGAAGAAGAAAAAAAAAAACAGAACACTGCAAATTCAAGCATGGTGTTAAATTTCCTCAACAGCCCCCTCTCTACCAATTCAAGAATTGGCTGAAAGTGTAAAACTGACGATTACTCTTCGTGCGCTGGTGAGGGCGAGCCTCGTCCTCGTCATGTCGGGGCGAAGAACAGCCATGGTCTCGTAGCTGCCGCAGGCCCGGTGGGCACTGCGGCTCCTCCTTCTCTCGAGCGCCGCGCCGCCGCCGCCGGGAGGTTCCGGAAGACCGGCCGTCGGCGACGGCTCCGCTGTCGTCGTCGTCGCTTCCCCTCTCGAAGAAGGAGGCCGGAGAAATCGAGCGTGAGAGCTCGGATGGAGGGGATGTTTCTCAAGGAGCGGGAGATGGGGAGGGAGCGGGAAAAAAAAAAGGGTGGCGTTGGGGTCGCGTTAGAGAGAGGGAGGAGGAGAAGGTGAGGGGAGTGGTGGAAGCCATGGAGTGGGGGAAATTGGAGAGTGGGGATTTCATCATGAGTTAAAAGGGGATAAGGAGATTTTGAGGGATGCGGAGGGATAAAGGGTGTTATGGGGAAAACAAAATTATTTTCCTGACGACTGACGAGGTCCCTCTTTTGGGGGATTTCGTGATTGTGAGGGAAGGGGAAGGGCATGTTTGGCAGATTTGAGTTATAATCCACTTTAGCTAATAATCTATAAAGGCAGAGTATAGTTAAATTTTGGGTCGGTTTGTGATTGTAACTTCACATGAAAAAATTTACATAGTCAAGTCTTTTTTTAATTTTAATAAAATAAAAAAAATTAGTTTAAATTTTGGGTCCCTCTTGTTGGGGATTTATCCCCTGTTTACTATGATCTACGCAACTTATGATCTACGCAACTTAAAAGCCAACAACAATCACAAATAGGAAAATACTAAGAGTCGGTGCTATGACAATGATTCACCAAATGTTAATCCACATTTTTTGGGGGCCAACACGTGTCCCGTCCACGACTAATAAGACACGACTAGTGTCCAGGTGTCTCGAGCTGCCCTTGTATCCGACCCAACAGGCGCACAACTTGCGTGGTTGACTAAAAATACGATACTTATCGGCCAACTCACCAGATCCTCTCTACGAGCACCTACATTTTGGCCAGCTGTTCCTAGCCGACAACTAGAGTAGCCAACTAAAAAGGCGATGTTTCTAGGCCCTCAACCAGACGAGTGAAGAAGCAATATGTCCTCGAATCTCCCACCGACAGACAGCTTCCCTCGCCATAAATGCTCTGTCAGAGTCATCATTACTCTAGCCCTTATAGTCTTTATGACTCATTACACCTAGTTAGCATTAAACATGTGATGTCATCCCCGTACTAATTACCTAGCTGACTCATTCCTTTCAACAGCTGACACCTGTGAAGTAGGTGATGACTGGACCGCCAGCTGGACTCGGCCAAAGTTATCTAATTGGCCCTCTAGTCCACTATAAAGGGGAAATGTGTTGCCTAAGGTAAGGGGATGAGGGCTTTTGTATTCAACTCCGAACCACTTTCTCTTCATATTTCCCACTCACAATCAACAAAGCCAAAAGATGATCAACCTCACTGAAGAAGACCTCGTTGACAAGTTTATAACTAATGCTTCTTTGGTGGCTTCGTTATCATCTGCTCTCTTATTACTTAACGCCCGCAGCTGCGCGTCGAGTGTTCGTCAATGCCTACAAAATCTTTTGGACATTGAATGCACCTCCATACAAGTTGGAGGAGCATCTCAAGGATCCACATAAATTCGCTGTCACTATCGCTCTTGTTGCATTGACCGAGATGACTTGGGCTTTAGCTTGTTTGACTAAGGTCATCGTCATCAAGATACAAAAGTTACCTTGTTTGGTTTAACAACGATACCTTGGGCTTTAGCTTGTTTGACTAAGGTCATTATCATCAAGGCACAAAAGTTATCTTGTTTAAGGAAGCGGAATTTTGACATTCCGACAACCAGGTTCGCGATGTCTTTGAATCAGACGGAGTAAACAATCAATCAACAAAATTTTGGGATCCAAAGTATTCCAAAAATTTGTCCCAGTCAACCGCGAACTTTCAAAAACTTTTGAGGGGGTTCTGTAGGCTGTCTAAAAATCACAATAGATAGTTGATCCCTATCAAACCTCAACCAATAATCTTGACAAAGAAAGTTACAATCAGACAACTTTCATGTCAACAAATGAAAGCTGCAATTGGAGGATTTTTACGTACATCGAGAAAGGTTATAATTTGACGACCTTCACGATGATTGATGAAAGCCCTGATTCAATAGCCTTCACAATTAACTGTGAGAGTTACAATCTGACGACTCTCATACCCCCAAGTAGTTGAAGTGAAAATTACTGAACAATGGTCTTGCAATGCTCTATAGAAGAGATTACAAGTCAACAATCTTCTAAAACGCAGAATTCATCCCTACGTTCAAAATTCAAAACACAGGCGGCCCTTGTGTTTTCAACATCCAACAGACGCCCAACTCTGCGTCTCCAGCCTTAGACGCAGAGTTATGGTCCCAAACGTCGACCTGGGCGTCTGACTCATTCAAACATGAGCCGAACGGTTTAAGAATCGTTTTCCCCACGATCTGAGGAAATCACACCCACTTAGGAGCGGATTAAGGGGTCAGTTACACCCCTTATCCCCCTATAAATATCAACAAACTCAATTGAGTTAAGGGCTGGAATTTCTAGGCAGTTCGAGGAGGATTTTTTGGATCAGATCATCCAAGCGATCTTGAGGCAACGATCTTCAGCAACAGAAGATTTTCAGAGATTTAACACTTGGCTTATCAACCGATTTTTTTTCAGTTAAAACAGCTCTTTTCACAAGAGTTTAAACTCGTTCCAAGTTATATAAAACTCGTCAAGAGTTCTTTTTCAAACTTGCCACACAAGTTAGTTGTTCCAGTGAATTGAGACGTGCGGATCGTCAACAGAGAACAAACTCGACACGAGCATTCGAGGGTGGCACTCCATCGCCACCGTGAAGAACCCAAAATTAAACAAAGGGGAGGATCTCCATCGATTCTCTTCTCTTTTGTAATCAGGAAATTTGAATTGTAATTAAGTTTGAGAGAGTTGTAAACATTCTTTTTCTCAGCAGTTAGAGAGAATAAAATCAAATATGATTCTTTCATTATTTTCTTATTATAAATTTTCCAACAAAAAGGCATGTGTTTACTTTGACCCATGCTCTGGTGTGTTGGAGATGAACCTTGCAGTCTACAGTTGCTTTGTCGACGACAGAGGTAGAGTATATGGTGATTACGGAGGCTGTTAAGGAGGTAATTTAGCTTCGAGGACTTTTGGAGGACCTTAGTGTTTCACAGCTATCTATCACCATTCATTGTGATAGCATGAGTGCTATCTATTTGGCTAAGAATCAAGTGTATCATTCAAGGACGAAGCAGATCGACGTTCGCTATCACTTTGTCCGAGATGTTCTTAAAGATGGGGATGTGGAGCTCATGAAGGTTCACACAAAAGACAATCCAGCATATATGCTCACGAAGGTGATCCAAAACAACAAGTCCGATCATTGTAGAAACTTATTACAGATTCGTGCTTGTTGAGGCCTGTCGAGGCCATTTGGATGAACTACAAGCGTCTTGATCCCTGAGGAGAGGGGGTACATAGGCAATCATATTAGTGCACCCGGATTTGAAGAGATAACATATTGGTGCTTTTGTTGGTGTTGGCTCAGTTTTAGGAATATTTGGCTGAGGTGGAGAATTGTTGAAATACAGTGCAAATTATAGGAAAATCAAAGCTAGTAATGCAGGAGCTAAAACCTCACACTGGATAGTTGACCGATGCACCCTTATCGGTCGACTAATGGAGACCTACTGGTCGACCGATAGGGAAGATAGGGGAGCATCGGTCGACTGATAGCGGGTCAATGAGCCGAATTGGTTTCCCAGTCTGGTTCAGTTTAGGGTTTTATATAAATAGAAACGCGTTTTATTAGGGGTTTTATCAAAGAAATTTGAGACTTTTGGGCACTTTGAGAGGGATATTATTGTGAAGGAATGAGATCTTGTTGGTTAGAGTTATTTTGATTGTTTGAGAGAGTTGTAACTCATTGTATTTCTCCTTTATATAGTGAAATCTTCCCATCCTCTCCCCGTGAATGTAGGCAACTTGCCGAAGCATGTAAATTCTCTGTGTTGGTGGTTGACTTTGGTCGTTCTATTGTGAATTGTGCTCGTATTGTTCTTCTCGTGTTGCTTATCGACTTGCTGTGGATTGAGTTCGCTTCCGCTGGACGCAACACTTATAAGTCTGAAATCTTTAGTACTACTTGCATTATCAGATTCTAGAATACGAGCAAGAAAGGAGAAGTTGAATTTATGATGAGAGGAAGCATTCATGTATAGGTGAGAAAAGAAGTTAAAAAGATCATCTTGAATCGTTTCCCAAAAAGATTAAAAGAAAAGAAAAGAGAAACCATCTGGCCCACGGGATTTATGAGGATGAAGGTCAAATACCGCTGCCTTAATCTCTTCTCTAGTAAAGATGGAATCAAGAGATAAAAGCTCAGGAACATGAGATGGATAGAAGCGTTCCAAGTCATGCTGAAAAAGGGAAGAAGGTTTGACTTTGAAGAGGTTGGAGAAGAAATCATTTGTATAATATATAGGCTGCTATAATATAATAATATGTATGATTTATCATTCCCTTAATATCATATATTAATTATTTATTATAGAATTATTGTCTTCCATTTTATTATCGATCGGTATACATTCTAATTTATAAATTTTGTAGGTATTCATGAGGTTCAGAATCTTGAAGGTCCTACTCTAAATGCCCTCATTATCGAGCTGTGATGTGATAAGAAGAACGTTCTATTAAAGGAAAAAAATAGCAAAAAAACTAAATTTACAATCTGTTGTAGACGGGGGACCGTCAAATTACCATTGCTTAAAAAGCCTCCGGATTATTTGGACAACCTATTGAATGATTAGGAGTTTAGAGATAATATAGGAGATTATAATTCCTTTTTTGCATTTACATCCATTAGTGGAAAGATTGATGAAGAGGTGAATAAAGGCAAGGGCCCATATTGCTTTAAACTGGGTGGGCAAAATCATCATAAAATTGGATCGTTAAAGCCGGTAATTGGAGAAGTTCCCAAATTTTCACAGCTTCATATATATGATACTGAAAATGAGGTTAACAATAGAATTAAGTTTTTGAAGTCTACTAATAAAAATACCAGCTACAGCCAATAATTGTGTCTGGTTTAATGAAGATGTTTGATCATAACAGCACTTTGGTAAAAGTATACCGCATGGTCAAATATTGGTGCAAACAATTTGAGACAAAAGATTAGAAGCTGGTCATAAA